TAATCATTAATAATAGTAATAAAATAATATTAGTAATCTTTTGTTTTAGGTAGGACGAAGTTTTCGACAGCAGATCCGAACGGTCGACATCGACGCGGTTTTTCCGGTTTTTTTCCCGGTTCACGAAACGTTCGGAAGGAAAGCGATACCGTTTCGGAAACTAGAAAGTCGGCGCTTCATAGGGGGGCCAGAGCCGGAGCGGTGAGAGGAAGAAACCGGATCGAAAACGGTGGGTAAAGTCGAAAAAACCGGTAGATTTTCGTTCTGTTCGACGTTCAACATCGATTTCCTCCGAAGATGAAGGAGCTACTAACCTGACGATTTTTGCGTGAGAAAGCCCGGGCGTCGGACTCAAAGATAGCGTCTTTCTTTTTTTTTTCTTTTTCCCTTTTCGTTCGAAAATTTCGATTTTTTTGATTTCCTCGACTGCGCGATACTTTCCGGTTTTTTTCCGGGTTCGCGAAACGTTCGGAAGGGAAACGATACCGTTTCGGAAACTAGAAACTCGGCTTTACGGGGGAGCGAGAGCCGTCGCGGTAGGAGGAACAAACGCGATCGAAAATGGACGGTAAAGTTGAAAAATTGGTAGATTTTCGTGCCTGACGATTTTTGCGTGAGAAAGCCCGGACATCGGACTCAAAGATAGCGTCTTTTTTTTTCTTTATCCCTTTTCCTTCGAAAGTTTCGATTTTTTAAAATTGCTCGACTATATGCTACTTTTCGATGCGTGAAAAAGTCACTTTGTCTTCCGGCTCTGTTATCGCCTATTGCTACTATACGTGAGCGAGTAAAAATTATATAGCTATCGAAAAATAACGATAATGAGCTGAGGAAACGTTTATGACCGTTAGAATTACCGTCAAATTTCGAAAAAGTAAACTTTGAGCGCCTCAAAAGTACCGATGACAACCGTTTTTCGGCGTACTTTGTCTTCTTCGATTCGGACCTTCGTTACGGATCGACATAGCTACGATTTTTTTTCGCAAAACGAAAGAGTCTCCTGATTAACCCGATATACGACACGTTACCCGATCGCATTTTTTAAACTCGGCAGATTAGAAAATTCAAAGATATGCAGATATTTGTAGTTTGAAGTTTGTATTTTGATTTTCGCTGGAGATTCGCGATACCTGTGAGGCGGGGTATTGTAGGTATGATCGTATTACGAAAGCGAGCGCGTGCAAGCGGAACGTACAAAAGGTGCCATTTTCGGCTTCATGACAATCGCTTCACCCAATATTGGATCATACCGAATAGCATTGTGCTTTTTAGGCATTATAACGAACGCTTTTGAATAGATACAGAATTTCTATATATGCTTTAGCAGCGTTGTAATTTATACCTGCAGCTAAGCATTTAGGGTTTGACGTTTAGCGATTTGTTTACAAAAGTCGTCATCACTTTAAATACGATAAATATGATTGAAAACCCTAATGCGTGTGATAATTTTAGATGAACGTTTATATGGTTCCATCCTAAAAAGGCAACAAGTCCACAATATAGCAAAACTTTGTGCTTATAGCAGTGTGTCTAGCAAGTGTCTAGTGGTGCCGAGTGTTTACAGTTAAAGATCAATTCCTGAAGAGACCAGAAACCCACAACATAGCAAGACTTTGTGCTTATAGCATAATATAATAACAGATAACAGTCTAGTCATACCGGGTGCCGAGTGATACAGTTTTTCGGTTCAGACGAAGTGCCTCAGTGTATATCTATCGTGATAATGTATTTCATCTTTGAAGAAGTTTTAGAGGTACCCTTATTAATCGTCAGCAGATTTAAATAATGTAAATAATTATCATTCCTGTCAAATCGGAAAACATTTACACTGAAGAAAGAACGTGCTATCCTTAGGCGAACACGGTTGACATATGTCAGTGTCAAGCGCCATGGTTGGTAGACTTATGCGACGTTGCCGGATCCTCACATAAGTCTGAGTTTGTCATACAATTTTATAGAGGGCAGTAATGCTATATCGAAGATTTTATAACGCCGTGTGTATTAACAACGACACATGCGACGTTGCCGGCTCCTCACATAAATCTGAGTTTGTCATACACTTTAATAGAGGGCAAATCTGAGTCTGTTATACAATTTTATACAGGGTATTTTTAATGCTTTATGGAAGATTTTATAACACCATGTGTGTTATTAACATATCGTTGCTCTCTCGACAAGTGTTCACTTATATTTTGAAACAGCAGGGTCTATAATACAGGACATTATCAAAATCATCCATATATCCTATGTATTTGAAATTTTGACAACAGTAAAATGTCTACAACAAATCAATAATATTTCTGACAGATGACAGGAAACATTAATACTGTTAGTTATCATTAATTTACATTAGTTATCATATATCATCATTAATCATCATTGTATTAATTATTAATTACTAATTACCGATTATCGATTGATTATGGATAACTGATTGATTGATTATTATTATTATTAATTTTCAATTACTAATTATTAATTATTATTGAGTAATTATTGATAATTAATTATCAATCGTTAATCGATTATCTATTGTTAATTGTTAACTGTTAATTATTACATAGAAAATAGCACTATATAGAAAACTAACACTAACTTCAGCTCTCACTAAAATAACTTGAAGTACAAGATATGTTACACCAAAAATATTCCCATTTCCGTTCACATTTGTAAGAAAAACATATTACGTACCTGTACAGCTATTAAAGAAGCACTGCATTAACGGCTTCAAAAGATTAGCCGTATCAGAAAATCTAATTTGTCACAATTTGACACTGTGTGCCTACATGTGTCAAACTTAAATCTGATATTTGTGCAAAAGGAGGATGCTTAGGAATTGAAATTGATGATGATTAATGATGACTAATACTGATTAATGATGATTAATAAAAATTAATGATGATTGATAATGTTGATAATGACTGATAATGATTGATAAGAATTAATAATTGGTAATAATTATTTATCATTATAGAAAAAATACATTGCCGTTATAGAACTTTGAGAAATTAAGAATAGACATATTGAAATGTCCCAAAGACTTGATAATTGAAAATACGCTTTTAACTTTTCAGACTGAAATTTCTTTAAGGCTCCAAATACTTACTTTTTATTGAAGTTAATTAGTTTCACATACCAATAACACTCGAAAACGTTATATAAAACTGTACGTTTGTCAACCGTCTGTCGTGATTTTTGTCACCGTGTGAAGCTGCTCGTGCGAAAGAGATATACTGATAGTATCATGGACGCAAACATAGTATTGTGATAGACAATGGCATCACATGAGAGTGAAAGAGTAAGTGAATGGATGTCATCGGCAGTGTCTGTAAATAAGGAGGTGAGACTGGCAACGTAGCGTTCGATCTGGCAATACTGGAAGCGCCGGACTTGGTGGGGAAACAGGGTAACATGTGATCCGTCTTCAGTGCAAGCTTGAACTCACTCGAGTCTTTTGGTTGTCCGTAGCAATTTTTTTTGTGAAACAGTTTTTTCTTACTAAACTTCAACAGGCCTACGGAGATAATGTTTCGTCTAGAGCTAGGTTTTTCGGTGGTTTAATGCATTTTCAGAGCCAATTGAAGATGAACCTCGAAGCTTTCATATTCAAGAACCGATGAAAATATGGATACAATCCGGGAGCTTGTGCGTTAAGATTGTCGGCTGACAGTCAGAATGATCGGGGAATAGTTAAAATTGACTCACACCACCGTTCATCACATCAAGAGTAACTGGGTGTTGCATCACGATAATGCTGCTCCTTGTTACACAGCAATGTCAATAAACGAGTTTTTTTCCAATAAAAACATTCCTGTGGCTCTTCAGCCCCCTTATTCGCCCGACTTGAGTCCATGTGATTTTTTTTCTTCCTGAGGTTGAAAAATTACCTCAAGGGAATACGTAATGGGACAGTCGAAAACATTTAAATTTCTGTAATTTATCAGGTTTTGGGGCTATTCCAGTATCGGAGTTCCAGCAATGCTATGAGAAGTGTCAGAACCGTCCGCTGCGTGGCTTCAGAATGAAGTTATTTTGAGGGTGACAATATGAAATTGTAATTATATTTGAATAAAAAAATCAATCTTATCACTTGGTTTTCAGACCTGGTACGGCGATGGGAGGCGGCTGGCGGTAAAAAGTGGAGAATCATTCTTTTCGACAACTTTTTTCGCGGCGGTTTTTTGTCTTTGACCTGTACACAGTCTTTCCCCAACAGCAAGCATGTCAAAAGTATAAGGCAATTCGCACAGGTTCCGGTATATCGAAATGGAACATTAACTTTGAGGGTATTGATGGATTATGATTTACTGGTAAAGATCTGGGACTTGATGTGGCAATGCGCCTACATCAAGCTTAGTATGAATGTCATTATCTTTACTTTTTTTTACTTTTACTATGTTGGTGACACGTAGAAGGGTTATTAAAATTTGAACTCCTTCAATCCGTGCCATTTTAAACATTCAAGATACAATACGTCATGCATCACTTGTTTTATTACATTACATTTTCGCTTCCACCGATTGGCATACTGGTGTTGAACTGATCACTTGTTCGAAAGAATAAACGCAAATAACACCAGATTATCATGAATCTATGGATGTGGCAACCTTAGATTAGAATGAGAGATGCGCTGTTGTCAAACCAATGATGCAATGTTGCAGAATTTGTGCCGATCCTGAATTTTCAGGTTCACCTACAATCGGAGAACCGGTAGGACTGATCCGAAATCCATTGTATACCGTATAAAGTATACACAAAGTAAGCCATTATTTGAGCAGCGTAGAAAACAAACTAAAGTTTATTTCCACCATGCATCATAATTCAAGAAAATTGTGTGGTGCAGTGATTACGCTTATATCGCGCACTCTTTCTAACACGCTTCTCTCCCTCGTATACGTGGAAATCTGACAGGGAAAACGACTGGCCAGCACTTTTTGTATATATTCATACAATGGATTAACATTGTGGGGTATAATTAACTAAGTAATATCTAATTTCAGGTACATACAGCTTCAGTCGTCGAGAAATAGATAGCATTAAATTATTACAATGCAAATTCACTGAGAAAATATCAGACAAATGGACTATTCACCATCCTGAAACTCACAAAAGAGTCAAGATTGTAGAGGAGGAATATGGGAGATTGAAAATCATGGCTCATGATTTTGTGTATCTAGAACACGCTGACAGCGTCTATTTTCAAGCTGTTAAGAAGCTAAGTGAAGCTGAGACAATAGGTCTTACTTGTTTAGGTAAGGTGTATGCACTTACTCCATTTCCTTTAGATAACATTTTTAGATGGAGTTCGGAGTATAAGATCCCACCGCATGACTATACCTGTACCTGTTTGCACAATGAAACTTAGTTTTAATAAATGTTATGCATAATAATAGAATATCTGACACCATGGTTGCCTATCCCCAGCATAACCAAAATTTGAGTTCGAAGGTAGGATTTGACAATTTTGCAGACTGAATTCGGCGCGGAACTGTCGAATTAATCGGCTGTCGAATTGATATCAGTAATGTGATTCTACCTTCTGTCTCTTTTGTGTCAACGGTTATGAATGGTTATGGCAAAATTTGGTGAAATAAAAAACCCCCACCCTTATGCCGTAACTGCAAAATGACAGCGATGGCGCTTACCAGACACAATCTGTTTCTATAATCGCCTCAATTTCAAGTACGTACTAGCTATAGTTCCTAGTAGTAGCTGTGTGTTGCCCAAACGCCAAGTATGGGATGCAGATGTATAATTTGGTGTAACATCTAGGTCCGTATTTTTGAAATCGGTGATAAAAAATGGAATATTACAGGATTGGCGTTGATACCTTTTAAATTGTGTGCGTTAATTATCGTCTATCGTTATGGCAACTAATTATCAATTTGTGAAACTTGCAGGGGTGCGTTGGTAAATCACTTGGTAATGTAATACCGTTAGACAGTAATGGAATGTAGTTTGTCAGATGAAATTTTACTCTGGTATACTGTGAAACATCAATTTTAGAACGCCAAACCAGTGTATTTGAGACAAGAACAAACAATATGCTATGTACAGCGGTTTTCTTCCAGCTATAGTATAGAACTTACAGCTTAAGATATGGAAGCTATGAATGGCCTCCGCCACAGCTATCTCTAAAGCATTAAAGGCTATCCCTCCGATAGCACATGAGTAACACACACAGCTACTGCAAGTCAGTGAGAGGTAGTACATAGAAGAAATGAAGACGATCACGAGTATCAGATCGCATCTGTCAATCACCATCGCCCTCATTTTGCAGTTACGTAATAAAGGTGCCCAGTAGCGTATTTTAAGAGCCTGTGTGTCTGTAGGGAATCCCCGTAGGTCATTTTACTTCCTTTGCCAAAATTAGCGTGGAAGTATTGAAATCACGAAACATTTTGAAATTATTATTCTGTTTTTTCGATGTTATACGTCATGTACATCACAAAAAAACATGTCAGTCATTTCCGTCAGTCTGACTGTCTGTCGTGCTGTCCTCTTAACGAAAAAGAAAAAAACGCTTAAACTTCTGATCCCGGTAACAATAGTTAGCGTTGCGTGCACGGCGCGATCCTGCATCGTCGTCGAGGCCACTGGCCGACTGTGCAATGGGTAACCGAGTCCAACTGGTCTGCGGTGGTGATGTCACCGACACTTCGCTACAGCAGAAATATTTTTATATTTTAGCAATATTAGGAGTACTTACCACTTTAGCGTTCTGCGATACTTTTGTAAATAATGACTTAACTGTTTTTTATATCTACACATACTCGTATATTTCCGTTAATTTTATGATCCTTCAATGTACCACCCATTTCGTTCAACCTTTAATTTGCGTTACTTCGTCTATGACGGTTCTCTGAATATTTCGTCATCTCGATTGACTCAGTATTTATGACGTATTGATATCCAACAGACATGGACTGACAAACCGACATAAATGAGGAACACGGACTTGTGCGATGCAGATATCTTCCAGCAACAGAAACCTTGTGAACGGACGCTCGAATATTATCGCGAGTTTCATACATTACATCGCTTAGGTAGTCGTCGTCAATTTTGAACGTTGATTCGGATGCGGCGGAAATAAAATCGCTGGAACAAAGTGTTACAACGTTTCAGAGATTCCTGCCCATTTTGCGGTAAATGGTAGTAAATTGTTACATATTTGTTGACAGTGAAATACCTTCTATTAATTATTATTATTGAGAAGCTGGTGATCTCAGCGATACCATGAACCTGCTAGACATAATATGTCACACATATTTTCTCTACATCTCCCATGGAAACACAAATATTATAGATTTGCTTTATATAGTTTGATATGAAGAGGTAGAATATTCATCGTAGCTAAGTGAACCTACCTAATGACGATTTGATTTCGCTGTTGGAAACGATTTAACTCATCCCTTTTCTTTGAAACCTCTAACGAAAGCGTAGGAAGTATAGAGTCAATATTTTTTTGTGTGTACATTACGAGATATTGACAGTCTGGAACAGTATATATATATGTTCAATTTTTTTTGTAGGTTTAGAAGACAGAACAATTAGTATACGTCTGTTCATTCTTTGTACGTGGCAGCAGGTGTTTATCTTGGATATGATGAATTTCAGGAACTGTTATTTTCCCCCAGAAATCAAAGAAATTCTGGAATCAACATATATATGCAAGGTAATGCATAAAGCAGGACCGATACTAGATAAATTGCTGAGGAAGTACAACGTTTTTGTCAGAAACGTATTTGATACCCAAGTCGTGGACCTCATTATTGAGAAAAACAAAACGGTAACATTTTTGTGATATTCAGTATGCTGATTTTATTGACGTAAATGTCTCTTTAAAGGGTACATGTCCTGAAAAATCTCGGAACTTATCAGAATGTTTGGTCCATCATCTGAACTTTCCAGACACATTTCTGAAGGGCGCTGTAGAAACACCAGCAAAAAAATGGTTAGAAAAGCCGTTAACTTTAAAACGAAGAGTCTATGCAGCCCAGCTAGTTACGTATCTAATTATTCTCAAGGTAAATATGATGAATGTGGATTATACAGAGTGGTCCACCGAATGCTGCTTCTCAATAACAAAACCATAACATTCTGTTGCAAAAGCTCTATACATTTGGTGTGAATGGCGCGCCTTACACATGGCTCAATTTGTTGGCAGAAAACAATACGTTTCTCTATCACATAAAAATGGGCAAATTTTTCATCGAGTTTATTCCAGTGAAGCCACAGTTCATACTGGCGATCCGCAAAGTTCCATTTTATGACTTATTTTGTTCATTTTCTATATCACAAACATTGTTGTTTTTGAACACTTGCAAGACCAATTTAATTAGGTTCCATAACCAACAAAAGAAAATCCTTGACTTTAAACATAATGCTCCGTCATTGAACTTCACAACTGTCGTTAAGTATCTGGGTACTGCGACTACCTCATTTCGCGACTTAGTTCTTTCTCTTATTTGTTTAAAACTTATGTAGAGTTCTGTCAAAGTTATTATTATTAATGATAATGATAATTATTGTTATTACTATTATTTATTTGTTGAAGATAAGGTAAGCAAAGCAATTCAGCTCGCAGTGGTCTTCGGTTCAGAACAGTTTATTGAGTGTAGATGAATGTGTAAATACGCGACAAGTTTAGACCGGGCTTCCGCGTTCCGAGATCGGCGCGCGTGTGCTGGCTGCTGTTCTTCAATGGCTTTCTACAACTGACTGTTTACGACCACAAAACATATACACTGAATAAGGTTTAGTCATAGGGCAACACGGTTGATTTATGTCAGTGTCAATCTCCATTTTTTTCTGGATGCCACATGGTTTCCAGATTGTGCACAACCACCGCATGCGACGTTGCCGGCTCTTCAGATAAATCTGAGTCTGTTTTTTATAGTAAGCATCTCTAATGATACATGAAGATTTTATATCGGCTTGTGTTATTAACATATTTTTGCTGTTTTGACAAATAAGTAGTGCCTTATTTAGCAGCAGCGTCAATAACATAGGCCATTATAAAATCATACATCTATCCTAGTTATTTGAAAATTTGGAACAGTAAAAAATCTATACTTGAGAATATATGTTTAACTAAATTTTATATTTATTATCCAAATATTATTTGGCGTTTCCTGGTGATGGTCTTCTGCAGCATCTGCATGGAAAAATGATTAGAATTAGTAATAAAAACAAATTCTTTTCAAAAAGAAATAATAGTTATTGTTAACAACTGCAAGTTTACTAGAGTTACCAGATTTTTCATAAGAATTATAATACAGGAATATCTAATCACAATTCCATAACATTGATAATAATCTGAATGTAAGAGTTTTATGGAAAATATGATTATATATATATAATTTATTAATTTTTACTGCATCGTTAAAATATATCGTACTTCATATAAGATTTTATACAGGGTTATCCAAATTAAGTGTCCACCATTAGTAACTTTGTTATTAGTGAAAATACAAAGTTGTTTGAATTAGCAAACTAGTAGCATTTTTAACGCTGGTAAAAATGAGAAATAAAAAAAAAACAATTGAGAGTCGTTATTTTGATTTTTTTCAGTAAAATAACATTTTTTTAAATGGAAACCCCTGTATATTATATTTTTTCTGTTAAAGCATCAAATTTTAAACAAAAAAGCTTACAATAACTTTTCTCCTAGGTTACAAATTGTTGAAGTTATGGCCTCCAATCTGAAACAATTAAATTGTATCGACAAACTTTATTTTCAACATCAACTTATAATCTTACATAATACAATAACAATTTTTTTTAAAGAAGATGCTCGAAAACACCACCTTGTTCTTCAATACATTTTTGGGCACGTTTTTCAACTGCTCGAACTGTCTTAAGTATGGTCCTACCATCTATCTGGGTTATCTTTTCCCTAACTGCAGTCTTTAACGCGTCAAGGTTATCGTACCTTCGCTTGTAAATTTGGTTCTTTAAGTAACCCCACAAGAAGTAATCAAGTGGGTTTAGATCTGGTGATCTGGGAGGCCACTGTATTGGGCCATTTGTTCCTATCCACTGATCATTAAAAGTAGTACTTAGAAAATGATAAGTACCTCTGGAGTAGTGGGCAGGTGCGCCATCTTGCTGAAAATGCAGATGATGTCTACTTATAAGCAATTCGTCTAAGAAATTAGTCAGAATTTCTGACATAAATTCCACATATCTTTCACCAGTTAGGGTTCCCTCATAAAAGAACGGGCCAACAATTTTTGAACCAATTATACCGCACCAAACGTTGAAACTGAAACGGACTTGTGAGCCTCTTGGATGTACTAACAAAAGATTTTCTCTTGACCAATAATGGTGGTTTTTTCTATTAAACATTCCAGAATTAGAAAAATTTGATTCATCTGTCCATAAAAGGTAACGAAAGTTATTTACATTTTGGCGACAGAAGCTAAGATACCAATGGCAAAAAACAAGTCTTCTCTCTGGATCCCCTGCCAAAAGCGTTTGAACTGGTCGGTACTTATACGGAATAAATTTGTATTTTTTTAAAATCCTTTGAACAGTACCATAACTGAAATTAGAGTCCTTGAGAATATCTGCTATTGAATTCTCACGATAAGCTTCAAAATATCCAATAACTGCAATTTCCGTGGCCTCGCTTATTATGAATTCTTTTTTTGCCCTTGTTTTAGCAAAAACATTTTCGTTGCCCCTAAATTTTCGATAAAGTCTCAGAAAATATCGTTCATACGGTTGAATGCGAGCGGGATATAATTCACTGTAGTATTCTCTTGCTCTCAAGGAGGATTTTCTGCACACTAAATAGCATTCTAACATATCACACTTTTCTTCATGGGAGAACATTTTTCTTTAAATTAATGACACAATAAAGCTTATAAACAAGTATTTACACTAATGTTTGACATTATTTGATTTTATCATTGTTTTCCAAAGCCTTCTAGTTGCGAGTATGTCCAGTTTAACAATTTGTCGCTTATCTTAATGCTGTCAAATCGCGAACGCCATGTTGTTTTCATAGCCGTCTTAATATTATAATACTGCAAATAATTAAAAATATTTATCGTTATTTTGACTTTATTTTTGACTTTAGCGGAAAAGTCATTATGAACTTTTTTGTTTAAAATTTGATGCTTTAACAGAAAAAAATATAATATACAGGGGTTTCCATTTAAAAAAATGTTATTTTACTGAAAAAAATCAAAATAACGACTCTCAATTGTTTTTTTTTATTTCTCATTTTTACCAGCGTTAAAAATGCTACTAGTTTGCTAATTCAAACAACTTTGTATTTTCACTAATAACAAAGTTACTAATGGTGGACACTTAATTTGGATAACCCTGTATAATTCAAACATGTTGACTATATATTATCAGGATATCTGACTTTCACTTCACTTTTATCAGCTTCTTTTCAAGGTATAAATACTTCAAGAAGTAACAATTTTTATGCTGAAGTCCATATTCAAACCTGAAATCTACGAAAATTGTCGTGTGTGTCTCATATCAACCACATTATACCAATATTAGCAGATAAGCTCTACAGATCACTCAATTTGACATAAACTTAGATTAGCCATGATTGTGGAACACATTAGCCATGGTCCTGAAGCACTCAATTGTGAGATACATGCCCTTGAGAGAAAACAGTAGCAAGTAATCTATATTCTATCTATTTCGGATAACCATGCAGGGGCATGGCGTGCCTTCAACACTGCTTATTTAATGTTTCATAGCGCTCCACATATGTGACTGCTGAATCAAGTAGAAATCCTCAATAGTGGTGCTATTCTAACAAATACATCCTTCCAATATAGAATATCTTTATCACTAAACCTTTGTTTCAAGGGACCAGGATGTTCTCTTTGTTGATTACAATCACCTAGAAGAAAATGAGTTGCTCTCTTATACAATTTCACCATGTTAGGTGTTAAAGTCCAGATTCCAAAGTTCATCAACTCAACAAAAAATGTAGTTTAAATAAGAACGACTTTAATAAAATTTGTAGTTACGAAAAACCTAAGCTCAAAGCATCCAGCCATCTGCATGAGCAGACAATGTGCTGTATCCAGGAGAGTGCGGTTGTTCCTCGCTATATCGTTCTGTTTCGGAGTGTATGGGCAAGTCAAGCAACGTGAAATTCCGTTCATTACTTTTTTGTTCTTTTGATTTTCGACCAGTGTAATATATTACTGAGTCCTTTGCATAACTTCATTTTTGTGTTTCATGAAGATATACATAGAGTAATCATCTATAAATTCCACAAAATATTTGTACTTTGAGGGAGATTCCACTCGCATGAGACCACAACCATCACTGTGTACGATTTCTAGCATTTCCGATTCCCTGTTGGACTTCTTCGGGAATGGTGAACCCGTAATTTTTCCGCGTATGCAAATTTCGCATATTTTCAATATTGATTCCACCTAATCTCCCTTTCTTCAATGAATAATTGAAGTCCTGAAAGTTCAAATGTCCTAATCTACGATTCCATATTTTGACATTTTCAGAATTCATGGCCGAAATGAAAGCTGATTTATTTTGTGCTTCGCCTTCTCTCGCGTAGTATAAATCTCCACAACGTTAATATCACCATTATTATCATAGATCAAAGCATTTTCTTTCGTGAATAAAACTTCTGATCATTTTTCGGTAAGTTCAATCTTAAGCCGGGAACATGAAAAGCTTTGTGGAGCAAGATGTTTTTCGTGTCGACAAACACGTCAACAAGCGTAGCTGTTCTGGAACCTTTAATGTCCGTAAATTCACTGTTTGCTAAATTCAAACGATCACTTCTACGTTTAAAGTTAGTTCAGCTATCATCGTCATTATCATTATTGTCATCGTCATTATCATTACTATCATCGTCATCATTATTAGCATCATAGTCATTATTAGGATTACATATTACCATCAAAATTATTATTATTATTAATACTATTGTTTTCATACTATTTTACTTCTCCGTTGAGGGTATTAATATTTCCCTCAGGCTAACCACCAAAGTAAGGAAATAGATCTGCAGTAGTTTTTT